GCAAAATCAATCAAATGTAGTTAAATAATGCTTGATAATTGAATATGCTTAAAGAAAAAAAAACAGCGTACACCACTCACATCTTTCTATTAATGGGTTTTAATTTATTGATTTATTTTGTTACAAAAAGGGTGGCAGTTAATTCTCAAAACAGCAGTCTCAGATTGATTCTTAGTCAGGATGGTGATCCCCCTTCACAGCCCTGTATGAAGGGGGAAAATAAGGGGGAAAAGGGGAATGAGTATATTTCAAGCTTGTTATGCAAATAAGTTATTGGTCTTGTTAAAAACTGACTTTCAACTGACTTTTGTTGGAAAAATGTTATCAACATAAATTGACTGAATTCATGAAGTAATTGGGCTTATAAACACATATACGCAGTTGGCCCACGGGCAGTAGTTTGGACAACCCTGGTCTAATTGCTTGCTTTCTTTCTTGTTGTTTAATAAGTGTACATCTTTGCCTTTCAGCAACATGTTCCCATCCAACCTGGTCCAGGCCACATTTCAGCAGGTAATGCCTATGAGGTCACAGAGTACTTTCAAACACAAAGGCTCAGCTTTTTGTTACAAGTCCGAACTCTTAATGCATGCTCTTAATTTTTCTGCTTCTGTTCCCATCCCCTGGCAACAGTATCGAACAAGTAGCGAGTACATTGTGAAGCCCAAACCGACGGTGAGTCAGGCCCAATCAGAGTCCACCACGCGGCGAGCGCTCATCTACGGTATCCAGGATGATAATGGAACTGACATCCAGAACTTTGCCCTTGATCTGACTCCACCTCCTGATGTACTGATACGCACGAGGGAAGGAACAAGCGATGGAATGAATGTTCTTGGAATTGTTATTTTTTCCGCCACTATGGGTAAAGACTATTATGGTTTACCGTTTGGCTTCAAGTTGAACTTATCCTTGAAAATGCTTTCACACTTTAATTATTTTAATGATTGTGCTGTATGTTTTCACAGGTATTATGCTGGGAAGGATGGGGCCAAATGGCAGCGCCTTGGTAAACTTCTGCCAGAGTCTGAATGAGGCCGTCCTGAGAATCGTTGCCATTGTCATATGGTAATGATTTCTTTAAACATACTATTTTACTTTAGGAAGCTATAGATGGGTTTGCCGTTTATAAATAATCTTAGCATATGAAGTTCCTGCTGTTTGCTTGCTACACAAGTTAGGAGCACCAAGCATTGTGTGGAGCTGTAGGTGTGGATTCTAGGGCTCCAGCCCCAAATGTTTTCTCTCAAGCCTCAAATCTTTTAGGTTTTTGACTTCAACTTTGTGTCTTTTCCCCTCAGTCTCAGAGTGGACCAGAAAATCAGCTGAGCAAAAGTTCTATTACTGGGGGAAATATCGCCCAAAAAACGCAAAAGGCCCTAGTTGGGCCAGTGTTTGGTTTATCCATTCTAGGCTACTGTAGAAACATGGCGGTTTAACTTGGCTCCCTCCGTAGAAGAGGAACAGCTCCCTCTCTAGATAAATTCACTCTAAGGTAACAAAGGCACAACAATACTTCAACAATTCAGGTGATTATACACTAATGAAAACATACTTATTATACTTGTTATATGTCAGCCAATAGCAGTTAATAAAAGAAATATTTCATACTGTACCTTTAAACCTGATATAATTTTCTCATCAGTGTCTGATTAAAACTCTTGCTCTGAGTTGAAGTGAGGTTTTCTTCTTGGGATACTACTTTTGTGATGCTTAAATTTGCTTGGAAACTTGTCTATAGGTCAACAGATCTAACAGCTGTCTAACTTCTACATAAGACTGACTTTGAGCTACTCCTCGTCCTGCCAGGTACTTCCCATTCGGCATCGTGTTCTTGGTGGCCGGTAAGATCCTGGAGATGAGCGATCCGTCAGCAATGGGGAAAAAGCTGGGTTTCTATGCTGTCACTGTGGTGTTTGGTCTGGTGTTGCACGGCTTGTTCATTCTACCCGCCATGTACTTCTTCATCACCAAAAAGAGCCCCATCGTTTACATACGGGGAATTCTGCAAGCCCTGCTCATCGCCCTGGCAACCTCTTCCAGGTGAATGACTACAGGATGAACACACTTTATCATGTGTAGATCAAAATTATATATGCCTGAGTCCTAATACCACATATCCTTTCCTGTCCATTTACTGGAACATTACCCTGAAAAGCCTCAAAGGGATGTTGGGAGATGAGAAAACATCTGGTGCGTGTGGGAAGAGATAGAAATATAAAGGAGCATTCCATGTGTCTGATTAGACTGGCACTTGTGCTCAATTCTGCATATGCGCTGCACATGCACCTGTTTTTGTCGTTTGGGATATAGCTCAGTTGAGACGACAGTGACATTGTTTTTGCATGTTTTATCTTTATTTATATATTTACATTAGCAGACATGTTCACTGTGGTAGATTTCCGACTGGTTTAATTGTCAACCCATGCAGAAATGAATGAGAACCAGTGGTGGCCTAGAAGGAAGGAAAAGCCCAAAACTGAGAACCATAAACAGAGCACCGTGCTTTGGAAAATGCTGCTCAGCAATGTAAAGTTCTGTGATTTGGTAAAAGCACACAAAAACTTTGGTATAGTCTACTGAATTTTAAGATCTTTACATGTGAAATCAATCCTTGTCGAACATCCTGGAGAAGGGAGTGTGTATTCAGTGTGCGGTGCTGGTGACCACAATATTTAGTGTTTTTTTCAGGCCAGAGTAAAAGCCTGCTGCATCCATCATTACGTGTGTTGTGAGCTCAGATCAGCAAAAAGCATCTGCTGCATGATTGAAAGGTTGAATGTCTCTGACCACAACAAACCAGTTGTTTCCCTGACCTATTTGTCTTGTTCTGTCTTCCTCAGCTCTGCCACATTGCCTATAACCTTCAAGTGCCTCTTAGAGAACAACCACATTGACCGCCGCATCATCCGCTTTGTGCTCCCTGTGGGGGCCACCATCAATATGGACGGCACTGCTCTCTATGAGGCTGTGGCTGCAATATTCATTGCACAAGTAAATAATTATGAGCTGGACTTTGGCCAGATCATCACCATCAGGTCAGTGCTATCAACCATCTGTGCTTCTAAGCTCATTAACATGGTAAAGATATCACTGGGATTTTAAAGCAATGATATCAACAGCAATTCATCCTTTACAATGAATAGCAAAAATGCACTGTGCCATATGTATATCTCTGGGTTTTTTGTTTGTGATTTTCTGACCTGATTAGTTACAGTACAGATTGTTATAGACAGTTTAAAATGCTAGTTTAAAACCTGATACATAAACACAGTGAAGAAATAAAGACTGATGATGGATGTAAGGTTTGCTTATGTTATATAACTGTTATATGAGCATCAATAATTACTTTTTGAGTCATTCCTACAATATGTCATTAGAAAACAGTAATACATCAAACAAGGGTGAGCTCGCACAGCCTCCAGAGAAGCCGGTAATTGCTAGCAAAGTCCTGCCTTTCATCAAGCAATCGAAGAAATCACAGTAAATATATTGATGCAGCTAAACCCAGTGTTTCAACATTTCAGCCCAATGAATTGTAATATTCTGGTATATGTATATGTAATATACAGTAGTTAAGGCTTTAAGTAGACAGAGCTGGAATAGCGGGGAATATCCAGGATAATACTCCAGTTACTTAAACCTTGTCTTAAGGGTTCAGTATGCTTCAAACAAAAAAGTGATGTTTATACCTCTTATGAACACTCGAAGATCGACAAAAAACAACAACAATTAATGTGCGTTCCCATCCACCCCAGTAAAACCTCAAACAGTGGAAAACCATTTTGCTTTAACTGTAAACCAAACAATTATACCTCCACCCTGTCCTGGATTACAAAAATATTGTGGAGATGTCCTATATGTGCAAAATTGAAAAACTGCTGAATGAATCACAAACTGTAGTCCAGTGTCTCTTCTCTCTGACCTTCATACCAGGAAAACCACACTACTACGGTGAATCTCTGAGGCTCCCTCAGTGCCTGGCTGGCATTGGGCATTCAGTTTCTGACATGCCAATCTTTTACTGTTGTGTTGTGATATCCAACACCGAAAATGATTTATTTACCTGTAAAGAACAGTGTCATAAGTTAGTAATGCTAAGCTAAAATGTTAATATTGCCACTTTGTCATCACCAATTTACAGAAAACAAAAGAAAACCATTTTAAATAATTCCATACAGCGACTGTAGATTGAAACTATCCGCTTATCTCTCTAAAAAGAAGCATGTGGCCTCGATAAACCCCCACCCCCACACACACACACACACACACACCATCTCTCACCATCCTGCTGCGAGTGGTGGGATCATCCTATCCGCAACCTCTGGACCTGCACATATCCGACATACACCAACATGCAGTTCACTCTCTACACAGCCTCTATTGTTGCATGCTCATAAGACACTTCATTAATTGAACCCAGAGTGTATGTGCTGCCCATTCCCCTCAAATTCTCATAATAACACTGTATCTGTTGTCTGTTGCTGTGTATTCACATTATGTTTGAGACCAATTAAGAATCCCCAACAGCTGACGCACAAAACCCAGAAAGATACGTGGATTATGTTGTAGGAATTTCCCCTTAAGGCCACTATGTGTGGTGAATAGGTGATTATGATATCTTTTAAATTTTGTGAATCATCATATATGAACGTAATTCCTAGGATAATAGGCTGGTCTCTGAAATTAGCACTAAAGTTAGAACATTTTCTTTTTTAATGACTTACTTACTTTAATGGCAATTTTTGTTTTACAATATATGCATCAGTCATACAACAGATGACGTATGATACAGTCTATTTCAAACTGACCTGTCTTGGTAAAATGGCTAAATATTTAAAGGTATCAGTAAATCTATAGGGTTGGAGTACCATGTAAAATATATGGATAGACCATTGCAAATTGGAAAAGAGGAGTGGAGATGTTCCTTTTGTCTTGTCCTTGTGACTTTTAGTTGTACTGTATATTGGCCTCTCATGACATCCCACAGGAACTACTGTTAAGGGTCTACAAACATCAGTTGATAAATTACATAGAGTTCTTTGTTAATGTGTATGTTTATTAAGTGACATCAGGTTTCTCTCTGTAACCATACTGACCTCCTAAATCTCCAGTATCACAGCCACTGCAGCCAGTATCGGTGCAGCAGGGATACCACAAGCCGGGCTGGTCACCATGGTGATAGTGCTAACATCTGTCGGGTTGCCAACAGATGACATCACTCTCATTATCGCAGTAGATTGGGCATTGTAAGTAGCATGTGTGTTCACGTCAATCACTTTTGTCTAACAGATCCAAACTAATCATAGTCAAGCAAGAACAGATGAGGCCCATCTTCGTCACCTTGTCTTCACTTGGCCAAAACATCCAGAAATATTTCAGATCTAATTTCAACTCATGTTCTCTCTAAAATGTCCTCCTCTTCGACAGAGACAGATTCCGCACTATGGTAAATGTAATGGGGGATGCTTTGGCCACAGGGATCATGGCACACATCTGCAGGAAAGACTTCATGAAAGAGGGAGATGGGGTGAGTTTTAATTGTGGCTTAAGTCCTGAAACAGTTCTTCTCTATTACAGTTGTAACAGAATTACACGTCTTTAAAAGGGTACTTCAAAATGTAGTAGGCTGGAGCGATCAAGCTGATCAAAAGTTGGTCTCCCAGTGTGCTGTCAATACAACTTCCTGAAACTGAACAACACTGCGTCATGTTACTATTTTTCTTTCTGTAATTGTCAAGGCTTTTGCCAAATATGCCAAAATAGCAGACATTTAGGAAGAAAAGTCCATGACTAGTGGAGACAGAGTCAAGAAGAAGAAGAAGAGACAGAAGAAAAAATGCTGAGTGCACCTTATAAATGGTTGTGTGTGTTTGAAGGTGTAAGTTACTACACAAAAAACCCATATATTGCTGGACTCGGTCCAGACCAACTAGAATATTTGGCCAGACCAATGGTCAAGTACGAGTGCAAAGACCAACAACAAGTCAGAGACAACAGGAAAAAAACACCTTGAGTCTTCAAACTTTAATGTAAAAATATTTAAATCTGTGGGAAAGGATATAAAATTCTGGCTGTCAGTCAGCTCTTTTTAAACTGTCTATTTATTTCCTGACATGCTTTAATTTTTTCTTCCACTTGCTGCTTCCCTTCCTGTGACCCTGTCGGGCCTTAGGTGCCTTTGATCTGCGAAACCAAACCAGCGATGAACACCCCGCCCCTGATGAACTGTCACAACAACAACGGCAACTACCGGCCCCCTTCCTCAGGGGTCAAACAAGAGTTGATCCCTTCAGACGTAGCCCGGCTGATGCAGCTGGAGGAGGGCGTTCGGCCGCCATCGGAGAGGAAGAAGCCTCCAATTCCCCCGAGGCACCTGAAGAAGGGCAAAGAACACTGCACTATTGACATGAATGGCCTTGAGACCAACGTATAGCCCCCTTTCGGAGTCTGTGTAGATGTGCTGATCAGAACCTTGACACCTCTACCGGTGGGAGAACAGCACGGTCAGGCTCATCTTCATCTTTCAGCTTATTCTGTAAAACTAAGAAGAAAGTCTCACAGTGGGGCAACTGTTGGTTTATGGTCATTATAACAGTGAAATGCTTCCTGTAAGACTGAATACAGTGGAATTTATGACCCCAAAGGACAACAGTGTGATTTTATTCATAAAATTCGTCCTTGGTGTGGACATGCAGCGTGAGCTCACACCTAAACTCTGAGACTCTGAATACAGGTGTGAGTTCTTGCATTGATAAACTGATTTCTATTTGATATCTTCATTTTATATAATTTATAATTTTTTTTGTCTGTGTGCAACATATTAATAAGACGAGTGTTTATTATATTTTATACTACTGCAAGCAACCAGTTGTTTGTGTCATATAAGAGACAAGTCAGGATTGCAAGTGGTTTGAGCTAAGTGATGCAGGAGGCAAAGTGAAATGCCCTAACTGTTTAATTTTGCCTTAACAAAGCTGGAGGTGCTAGGCTTATGGTGATGACAGGTAAGAAATGACTGAAGAAGAAGATCAGAAACGTTACCTTCCCTTAATGTTATAACTTTAATACTTAATTTAATTAAACTTTCCTGGCACTTGAACAGCCTAAAAACAATGACTAATTCAACATTTAAAACCATGTGGTCCTTGTTTATTGGATGAGTTTCTTTTGCTACTAGTTGCAATATGTTAAACAAGATCTGAACATTATATATATCTATAACAGATGAACTTACTTTGGAGCTTTGCTACTGTATTAGTATTATATTAGTATATTTCATCAATATGCACTGAAGCCATTTAGTTAAAGGTTTAGACTTGGATCTTTCCAAGTCTGACTTAATACAACACTCTTGCTATAAATATTCCTCCTGTTCATACTGGCACATTGTAAGTAATACTGGACAAAATCTACTCCTTTGCTTATTCATTCACTCCACAGTCCTATAACAGAATAGTTCGCTCTATAGTGAGCAGAAAATTAAAGATACTTATGAATCATCATCATCATGCAACATCACTGGCAGGTGTAGTGTCACAGTAATGGATGTATTATAAGAACTGGATACCGGATTCAAAAATGGCACCCACTCAATTGAATGAAAATTACTCATCAAGCTTACAGTTGCATTTTAGGTTGCATTAGTGTTTCCTGCTCGGTCCATAGACTTTATATTAGAGGAGGATATCCACATAAAGGTTTGGAAGGAATTTGGCGAGCTGTTGAGAGTCTGTGTGCAAACTATAACATTGCTTCTGGGGGAGCTCACTTTTTCTTTAAAGTAAAAGTAAAAGTAGTAGTTTATGATTTTGCACTAGTACACTTTGATGGTGATGGCTGACTCCCCTGTAATTCGCACCCTGTTGGGAGTTAGTAAAAGTAAATTGTTCTCCAACTATATAGATATAATCCTGAAAAACGGTTATTGTTGCAATCCAACAGTTTTAGTGTTTGAAGTGAAAAAATAAAAAATAAAAAATATATATATATATATATTTAACACCTCCTGTCAGCTGTCATGCACTGCTTACATAGGCAGTGTTTCCAAGTCATTAGGAAGCAGCGTTCACAAATACTCGTTCAAAAAGCAATCTATCTCTGGCTTTAATGAGAAATCCAACCTCTCTCCCTTTTCCTGACGCAGATTCATAATTATCTTTGCTGGAAAATGTGCTTGCAATTGCACTCACTTGCATCTTTCCATTGATTTTGTAAGCACTGACTGCTTTTTGGCCAGTATGATGAGGAGGAATTATTATTGCATGTGAGTATTATATTAAGATACACTTTAGACGTGTGCAATTTCTTTATGATGCATCTCACTTAAAGACTTACAGGGGTCCAACAGTAGGTTTTATGTATTTTGCCACTATCAACCATTTTAGAGTGCTTCTCACTGGTTCTGTGTTCTGATGTGCAACAGGCTGCCAACATTTTTCTCATGGGAAGATAACAGATTGTAATCTGAGATGTGTTTTTTCTTGCTACAGATAGTATTTGAAATATCTGCACTAGCTGCATATCAGAGTCAAACGCCCTGTGTGGGAGAACCTGCTGAAATATTGATCAGATGTTGTGGTGAATGTTAGGAAACACACACTCTTCGTCAGCCTTTTCAAATAATTTATTGCTGTATTCAATGACTGTATATGTGACAATACTGCTGTATGTGAAAGTAACACTGTATTCATAGCAATATAGTGAGTGTAATAGGATGAGTATTTTTAATGTCATATAAAAATATTTGCTATCTTTTAAAAATGAATGGACTGAAGTAGCAGCAGCAGCATGGACTGAAGCTTCAGATATGTTGAAATTGCATTTATGTTTGGAATATTTCATTCACAAGCGCATGGCAAAAGGATAACATAAAAATGATGATATCCACAATCACCCACACTGTAGCTGTATTACTGCTTTCCAAAATAATTGCTGTCATTCCAGTTCCTCACTGGCTGTCTACCTGTCACTTTTCTACACCTGCATGATTTGAGAGTAGTGCTGCAACAGTACTCTTAATTTTATTTAATTTGCTTTTAAAAGAAAGGTTATCTAAGATAATTTTAATTATGATTCATTATTTGAATGATTTATTACGGTAAACTACTTAGAATTTACTGGCTTAAGTTACAGTCCTTAAAATGGGTTTACTGATGGTAATTTGGTGCAATTTAATAAAATAAGTTCAAAAACTTTGCTTCAAAATATGACGCTGTAGGTATCCCTCTAGTATCATTTCTGGACGGGCCCACCGCCAAAGTCAGGTGACGTAGTATAAAGAGTGAGAAAGTTCCCATATGGTGATGGTGGTGGACGGATGGCTCAAACAAACACAGGACTTTAACATAGGAGGCCACTGTTTCTGCCCCTGCAGGGGGGTTTCCAGACTTTTTTGATTGGGGTGGCACAAGTGGGGGACTGACTTATGCAGGGGTGGCATGAAGTATGTCTCAGCTTTCCAATCATTCCCAGTGTATGCAATTCCAGTACTGTTGAGTATGCAGAAATATTCAAATACACTAGGCGTAAATTACAACTTTTCTTTTCTTCTCTTTCTTTGCTATCTTTACAATGGGCAGTAGCTCAGTGTGTAGGGACTTGGCTTGGGAACCGGAGAGTCGCTGGTTCAAGTCCCACAGACCACAATATGGAGTGTGGACTATTAGCTGGAGAGGTGCCAGTTTCACCTCCTGTGCACTACTGAGGTGCCCTTGAGCAAGGCAACCTAACCCCAAGAAACTGTTCATGGGGCGCTGCTAACGTGGCAGCCTTTCACTCCACCATCTATCTCCCTGTTTGCATGTCCACAAGTGCATGAAGTGTTTATTTCAGGTATAGAAAAAGAGTGAAAAGAACAATTTCCCCTAGGAAATAAAATTCCTTCCTCCCTGTTAAAGGGTGGCCATTGATGGCCAAATCAGATTTCAGCAACCTTCCTCTTTAACGGCCCTAGTCCAGCGTGAAATCAAAAGTAAACAACTTTGACGTTTTGGAAGTAATGCAGTACCTAACAACTACTAACAATGTTTGTGCCTAACCCTTTACCAAACTGCGACTGATCATACCGTAAAAGCTAACTGACACACGTATTATTGTTGCTAACCTACCACAGAGCCCTGACATCAGAATGACTATGAATCCTACAGACGAACTCATATGAAGCAGACGGCCACGCCAAGTACCAGTATTATGACCAGGATGAGACTTCAAAATGATACACAACACTACTGCGACAGCAACGTGTGCTATTAGCACGCCAACAAAATCTTGGACAAAACAGATCAAATGGTTCTTTCCAGTACAGAAATATGTGCCATCAAGTCAAGATAGCGTTTCTTATACCCCTTATTGATTACAGTTAATTTATTGGGTAATTAACTAAAGAGCAATTGCAGTAACAAAAACAAATGTACATAGTAACACGATTGCAGGAGCGTAGGAAAAAAATGCGGGCCATAACCAATATAATATAAATGGATATATTGAACATTTTAAGGATTGTAACTTTAAAGCCTATCAAATGTTTTTTCTATATCTTTAGGAATTGAATGCTTGAGGTTTTTGGATTGTTGATCTAACAAAATAAGCAATTTTAAAAATCACTTCAGGGTTCTGATGGGCATCATTAATTACTCGAAAAAGATTAATTGATAATGAAACTGAATTGCTGCCCTATTTTAGATTACTTGTTGCAGTGTTTCTTTCAACAGGCGTCGTTGGTTACAGTGGAAGTCAGACTGTTGTATCTTTCCATACTTAGTGTTAAAACACGAATTGTTTCACAGTATTTCAAGTAAAATCACTTTTTTGAGCCAGGGAAACAAGGCAACCGTTGTCAAAGTGGCAGAGAGAGACGCAACAACATCTGACCTTTTTCACTCTGCTTATATCTTTGGTACTGGTTCTCTGACATTTACATGGGAAAATTTCACATTGACCTCTTGTTCATTTTTTTTTTAGAATAAAGCACAAAAACACAATTAGACGATAGATATTGCATCTCAACAGTCAAAAACAAATATTAGCTCAGATATAAAGATATGTCACACTAACCAGCCCAAAAAATGGAAACTAAAGTAACATCCGGTATCCTGCACCAGAAATATGTAACTGAGCCCAACACAATAATGGACCTGGGAACTGACATTCACAGGTTCATTCCCGTTCGCATGCCCTTTCTGTCCTTGACACATTGCAGTCCAATGTCAGTTTAGTTGAGCCTGTCTTATGTTTCTTGCTCCTCCTCCATCATTTTATCACCCTCCACCTCCTCTTTTTTAAATGGGAGGTCGGCATTTCCTGTGCTGATGTCCAGCACTTGCAAGTTGGACAGGTGAGCAAAGGAGCTCTCATCCACAGAGTCCACAGACAGGCGGTTGAACCTTAAAAGGAATAAAAAAGAGGAATGTTTGTAGGGTGACAGTTGACAGTTGA